ACTGCCTTAAATCAAAACAGGCCATATTTTTTGGAATCTCTCCCTAGGCCAGCATCATACTTCAGTGGACTTAGTCTTGCTGACTAACCTGCCACACATGTTTTCTAACCTGTAGTCTTTTTTCCAGTCTTGCTGACTAACCTGCCACACATGTTTGTAGTCTTTTTTCCGAAATACTAATTTTTAACAGGTTTCCCTACAGACTGATTTTTATCCAATACTTATTTTCCCTGAAGGGCTAGCATTTTACCTAGTACGCTGACATACAATCAGCGTAACCACTGCAAACAGAACTCTGCAAACACCACTTAAAGCATATTGTGCAAAACCGTGATGTGGTGAGAAAAAATTCCTTTACAAGTCAGATCACATTCTCTGAATAGCCATATTTTTAGCATAATGTGTGAATAAGGGTATAGATTTATCAAGCAGTGTTAAGTAAACACATTAACAGAAAAAGCTTAAGGGAATAGTGGTGGCCTTATATTTGTAATAGTGATTTTCTTCTGTGACAAGTTCTAATGTGGTTTTTCATCTTATTTTTTCAAAACCTCCTTTATTATTCATTCCAGTATTAAAGCAGAAATGAACACTTCATTACATAATCTTAACCATACTTCCCTTTTGCCAATAATATCTAAAGTTCAACACACTACAAATATTTGAAAGGCATCAATCATATTTGCAAAAACAATTTATTTTATCAAGTCCAAATATCTAAGTGTTAGTCACTTTTTCTATCAAATTTCATGTGCTGCAAGAAACAGATGGTACTAATCACCTTATCAAAAATTTACTGTCAGTTTATAAATATATTAATCAGGAGTATATCTCATGTAAGGAAACACTCTGGGTTCAAAACCCAAGAAAATTAAAAGGGACCTCTAATAAAATTACAGCACAGCAGTCTCCCCTTTCAGAAGTCTAAAGACCATATACCAGCTATTGTCCAAGATCCTCCTTCCTACATATCTTAAATACTCAGCCTTCCTATCACCTTTTACACATACAGACTTATGTCACAGCACACATACAATAAGACAATTTATTAAAAAATTTATTAGTTGTTATGATAAAATTTTATCTCCTAACTCAACAACAAAATCTCAAAGTATAGCTAACCATTAACAATTAGGTAACTGCAGAAGAAACTTGTATGAGAAGTGCCTCACCCTGAGATCTTAGTGAAATGAGCTAAAATATGGCATGTGAAAGGATCCTCCAACTGCCTTCCTCCTGTGAAGCCTCTTACTGCTCTTTCTTCCATAACTTTTCAGATATTTAAGCTCGTTTAGCCTTCTAAGCCACCTGAATCTTAGTAAGGCTCTCACCACTGCAACCCAACAATTGCTCTCTCTTTCCTTGCACAGCTACCAACCACTGTCTCCCTTATGTTACTTCAAAGCACTGCTACCAGAATCATCTTCTAATTCATTGTCAAGTTCCTCACATCCCTTCACTAGCCTCCTTAGTCTCCTCCAAGTTCTCAAACGTAATCTGTTAGTCCTCCAATATTTAGTCATATTTTATCCATCAGATCCAGTTTTTAACCATACGTTCATCTTTGTTCGTCAATGAAAGCAGCCTCAGCTTATCGCTCAAAACTAACCTTCTACCATAGTATGGATAGTAAACCCCTGAAAGGCAAGTACACAACCAACTATGATGACTGTTCCTGACCGACCAGGAACCAGCTTGTCACTCTCTTCCTCACTCACCAGCTGTCACCCTCCAGCTGTACCTTGGTTTTCAGATAGTAAAAACTTCCATTAGGCCGTAGAGCACTTTGCATAACAAGGCCTCAGTTTCATTGTCCTCGCACTGCTACTACTGCTGTGTAAATCTTAAGTAATGACAGGGCATGTGAGGTAGTTTCTGGAATATACGTCCTGGTGCTGCTGAAGTAGTCTCTACAACAGAAGATGAAGATGTGAAAAGTTAACATTTGAGATCAGATTTATCATCCCCCGTCATGACTATGCAACGGAAGCACATATAGGTGTGACCCCAGTTTATAAAATATCTGATGCTACCATCTTTCAGACTGTGTAAACCAAATGCATGGTAGGTAATGGAAAAAACCTGTTTATACACATGTGCATATATATATGTATATATGCATTCCTATTTAGTTAATATTTCATGCACGGTTACGGCTGACTCCACGCTTTTCTTCATACTGTTTGTATCTTCATGTGCACCGGAATCAATCAGCTTCAGTCCCAGCAGTTCTATTAGTGTTTACCTCCTAGCATTTTCTAAAAGTGGCTCCCAGTGGCTTGTATAAATAAAAGCAGCATTTTACAGGAACAACAGATTTATAACTTTAATAAGACTACCCTCCTTCCTGCATTAAAGTCTACAGTACATGACAAATCAGGTTAAGCAAGCTGGTATCAAATCTGAAGCCAAACACATTTTTGAGCCAAACCTTAATTCTCTGAAGAGCTCCAAGCTTACTTTCAAGATGTTAAATTATTAAGGAAAATCAATTCTTTTCCCAGCTCAGGCAATGTCATACAGTCACAGCATATACAACAATAGCTAAGGTAGCTTTTCTGGTTTATTAACTTCACAAGCCTTTAGAATTAACTTACCTACCTTTTCCTCTTTAGAATCCAGATAAACAGTCACTATGGACAGCTTCACAACTTCTATTAACTTCAGATGAGAATAAAAGATTTGTCTGAAAACAGACTGTCAGAAACAGAGAAAAAACATTTGAGACCTGCAAACTCCTACGTTTATTTATTAAACTAGTATTATTTAACCAGTATCGCTAGACACTTCAGCAAATAAACTGCAATGCATTCTGTTCTGACAATAAACAGTTTCCTCAAAGGATATGAAATAATAAAATATATTCCATCCAAAGAAGCAACAGAAGAATCGCAAGCAATCCTGGGAGAAAGTAGGCAGATGGCAAGAACAGTTCTTTGTGAGCAATAACCTTCCTGAAACAAAGTATTTAGGAGTATCTACATGCATACTTTTGCTTAGACTTGTAGTTCCACGGAATATCAAGTGGTTTCAGTCCCAGTCATTTTATTAAGTTTCTATCTCCTAGCATTTCCAGAGGATATCTTGGGCACAACAACGGATAAGGTGATGTAACCTTCTGTAAAAGCATCCCAACCATTATAGCACAAGATATATAAAAGAAGGAAGGAGATAAAGTGATGTTACCAATCTTTCCTGTTCTAAAGTAGAACAGCAGTAGTGAGTAAGCAGTAATTTACAAAGGAGCAACAACCACCCTCATGCCCTATCCCAAAAATATCCTAACCATCAGTTTTAGGACTTAATAATGTCATATGGTGAGTTAATGGAGAAGTCTCTTGAGCTTTCCTGTTGAGGACATCCAGTTTAGTATATAATATGTAAATATCTGGTGACTTATAGAGACAGAGGAAAAACTGATTCTCCAGGTTAGTTAGTTACTATGCTTCTCCCATTGGACACGTCAGCCTATATGCCATTGTATTATTATGCAAAGTAAAACAGTCTTAACAGATAAAAATGAATAGTTGTGTACACACCAACAGAAATATCTTTTGTCCCCTGAATAGCCTATCAGTTAGGACACCCTCCAAGACTTCTGTGCCAAATGCAAAAAATCTGCTCCCAGTTCTCTGGTAAGTGTCCCCAGAACAGAGAAAAAAACAGACTCTTTTCTGTGAGCGATGTGAGCGAGCAACGCTGCAGCTCCCAAGATGTTCCCGAACGAAACCATTCAGCAAAAAAGATTGCAGTTGCAATTAACTACTAAACAAGCAAATGCACTTTTTTTGATGAATAAAGTGTCTCTAAAAAAAAAATCTACTCAGTTCTAATATGAAAGCCGTAATACTGGTAAGTAATAAATACGTTTTTCAGTCAGCCACAATTCAAACATGAGATACAATCTATAGTAAATATCCAGACAGGAAAACTATTTGAAAAACATACAAAAAAACTCAAAATACAGTGGAATTAATTTATTTGTTGTAAATAACTCTTTCCAAGCTCTGATTTTCATGGTACCATTTCTGATCTAAGTAAATGAGAAATTTACTGTGGAAGGAAGCTTACCTAAGTGCTTTAGAGAGAGCTCATACATCTAGGCAAAACACAGCCATTTGCAGAAGGTAAATAACAGATGTTATTTTTCCTTCTTCATCTTTCTTAACTACTATTGCATATGTTGCCTCTCTGCCCATAGAGCCTTACAGATTTGCACTGCACGCTGCTCCCTGCCCTTGAGAGGGTGCAGCAGCAGCACCAGTGTGGGTGGTGAGGCCCGGCAGCTCTTCCTACATCTCTTGACAAAGGTGCCCGTCCTCTAGCAAGACTCTCAGCCAGCGCTGCGGGACCGCTCTTACTGCAGCAGGCCACGGCAGTCCATCGGAATAAGTATAAACCACCAAAAAAACGCCCCAACTCAAACGCGGGCAGGCCCGCCGGCCCCCT